AGCAACTCGTGTAGATCATCTATTAGAGCAGGTCCACCGAACTTGAAGAGGGCTGGAGGAATAGTATCTGCTCCTGCGGCCTTATGCAATTTCAACAGCCTGATCTCACGTTCGACTTCTGCGCGTGAGGGCGGATCCAAGGAGACGGCCCAAGGAGAAGGGCGCTCAATGCCCGAAGAAAGTGATAACTCAGGTTGGTTAAATTGCATAGCAAAGTGTTCAGCCCAACGCTCCAAACGCTTTGACAAGCTGTGGATCGGATGCCCACTCTCGTCGCGTATAGTCTCGCTAACACCAGGTCTCCTGCTGCCTGTTGCCCGTATCAGACGGTATAACTTACGATGATTACCAATGGCAGCGGCTGTTTCCATCTCAGAGGCACGATGAGACCACCAGGTTTCGCGGTCCTTCTTTAGACTAGCACGTAGTTTCGCCCTGAGATTTTTGCGAGATTCAGTGTATTCGCTTCCAGCCGGAATACGTCGGCGAGCATCCATAAGTTCCAGAGACTGTGTAGAGACCCAATGTTCGGATTTGCAATTTGTTTTGCCACATGAAGACATGCCTGCTAATAGCAACACTTGACGAGTGTGCGACCAGTGATCTTCAACGGTGTTTAGTGGGCGCTTACTCAGCCCAGATGTCAGCGCATCTTGGTACACATTCAGAACATCTGACTTCGCCAGCTGGCTAGTGTCAATCCGTTCACATCGACGTCGCGGACGTCCACCGAAACGCACCAGGAGGTCGGCACATACAAGTGCGTGGTCAGAGTCCACGCTCGTGCTCCAAATCGAACGACAGTTTTGGACACAGCCTCTCCAGCGGTAACTGATCGCGATATGATCGATTTGCGTCCATGACTGGCCCGAGGCTGGTGGCCGCCAAGTCACACTTCTGCGGGTGCTGTGTCGAAAATTAGTGCTCGCGAGAAACAGGCGAGCATCTTCACACAGCTGGAGCAATCGCTCACCATTATCATTACGGGAGCCTACACCATGTTGGCCGCCCAGATGAAGCTCATCAGAGGACAATTTTCCGACTTGGGCGTTTAGATCGCCAGCCAACACCACAGTATCCGTGCTTCTTCTGTAACGAAGGAGCTCGTGAAGTTGCTGATAGAAATCATCTTTTACCGAATCAGTGCTACAGTTTGTAGGGGCGTAGGCCGCAATGACAAACAGGCACCGTTTGTCCCCGCGCGACTTCGAAGCACGGAACGAACCAGCTAATCTAACGGCGCACATCCTACTGTTTACTGGGATCCAATCAAGCAGGGCAGCTTCAGCCCGGGGACTCAAAACAATGCCGACGCCAGCTTGACCGGCATTTGAAGCTGCATCATCGCCAGATAGGCGCAATGAGAATGTGCCGCCAGTGTCGCATGTGGGGGATCTCAGGGTAAGCACGGAGCTCGAATCTTGCAGGCGGGTTTCTGATAAACAGCAAATATCGATCGATAGGGTCTCTAGTGTGCGGGCAAGTGCTGCCTGTTGGCCAATCTGCAGCAAAGTGCGCACGTTGAGGCATGCCAATCTTAGCGAGACACGAGGACTCCAAAGGGAAACGGATGAACTAACGTTGTCCGCTTGGTTGAACATGGACTTATCGACTGGATTGGAGCGAGGCCCTGCGATTGTGTGTGATTTGAAATTAGAAGACAAGCGACTATTGAAGTAAGCTGGGGGAGGGCCGAGAATTGGGGGATTGAAAATGGGGGGGATATAAGTAAAGTTGGAGCGGGACAATAAGGATGCAGAAGCGCAAGAAGGGGTATAAGAAGACGGGAAGGCCTGAGCAGTAGCATCCAAACCCCTATCCACCCTGCTCGATGCAGCAGATAGGGCGCCGTTTATTATCCTCTGCGACGGCCAGAGCATCAAGAAACTGTTGTAGGAAAGGTTCATTGTATTGCGTGGGCAGAATACTGTCAGGTTGCCCAGGCCTAGACAGGAGAACGATTAGGGTTCTCAACCAAAGCCTTTGGTTCAAAAACCTTACCGCAAGGCAGCGGGTTTTGGCACTGGACTACAGAGCCCGTTTTATGAAATGAGGAGCCACCCCCATTCCAACCCCCAACCTGGAGGACCAGGAGGCTGAGTTTGTCTGGCCTCTAACCATCGACCAATCTGGTATGAGTGACTCTAAAGGTGCAAAAAAAGCACCACCCAGCATAGCTCAATGGATCTCTGAGGCACGCAAACCATCGCACCACGGTAAGGTCCATAGCAGGGTTCTGCTGTTTCTACTACAACGGCGACAATTGCCAGAGGAATGCCATCTTGCAGCCAGTTGTCTCAATCATGCAACCAATCAGAGTGGACTGAGATGACAAGGGTCTCTCCTGCATTCTACATCCCAAGGGACTAAATTTGACTTGTCCACTGAGCCTGTATGAGGCAAGCCTTGGCCATTAAACCTGATAGCACCATCGGAAGATTAAGTGTCCGATTTCACCCGTTTTCGGATTGGAATCGGTATGTGGAAAAAGGCATTTAACGTCGTTAAAAGCAGTTAGTTGTACGTGAAAATTTAACTAACATTGCTGAATACTTTGCCTTGTCACGCACGCGTTATAACAACTGCGGCAAAATGCTACGTGCCTCTAGAAGACAATATCATGAGGTTTCTTCAGTACCGCATGTTGCTTAATTGATCACAAAGATGCAGAGGTTTCCAAGGCGACAAAAGGGTATTTGTAAGGACTACCAATATGTTTCTGTCTGACTTCCATCCCAAAATGTGCATTTGTCTTTTTTTCGGACGAAAACCTGACCGTTACGGCAATGAAAGCGCATAGAGAGCGGTCACTCGGCAGACTCGTGCAATCAGGGAACGTGATACGGAGCGCAATAATAGTTTCACTATGGTGTTGCGCGGATCATAAAATATAAAGAATGACATGCCGATGCTCACACTCGTAACTGAATCGGTACGTAAAGTTGCGTATTGATGTACAACTCTAAACAAAAGTGATTTTTATAAAATCATTCCAAGACGCTGGCGAAGATAGAGCCTATATACTCCACGTTATTAGTCAACATATTTCAGTTAAAAATATAAAAAGGAAAAGAGAAGTGTAGCGTGTACGAGCTTTGTCATAACGGATCCCTGATGACTTGATAGCACCAGCGGGAAGTCAACTGTCCGATTTCCGTTCACCTTCGGATTAAAATAAGTGTTGAAAACAAAGGCCTAAAAGTCGGATAAAAATGTTACGCATATGTAAATATCGTGCCTAACATTAGCTCATCATTATCCCGTTCTGACAGCCCCTGCGCAACACAGGTTTCCAACCACACTGCGCCCAGTTTGTGTACGAAGGACGAGGGAACCGCTCAGCACCACTATGTCACGCAACAGGCCCTGATGACTGGGCGATGTGTGGGGAATGCCAGCACATCGATTCCACCGACGTGTACTACTTGCAGGCCGAGGGTGTGGATGAAAGAAGAGAGGCCAAGCGATGACTTCAAAGTGGGCGTCGGTTGGTGTCTTCCGACTGCCGAGCCGGGGTTCGAAAGACGATGAACAAGTTTGGTTGGATTCACTAGTTGACACGGCGAAAGCCGACCTCAATGGCGTTTGTGTTGTGAGTTTCTCTGACTCTCCGTCTCCTGCTTATCTTCCCCCACCAACCACGTCCACCCAAGTTATGCTTAATATGACTCCAACCACCATATTGCGCTTTTGGTTTTATAGTGTATTCTGGAATATTTTGGTCTCTTATCTTATCTATTCTGTATTGTGGCACATTAGCTAAGTGTATATATTACTTTCATCTAACGTGTATTAATGATGATGACCTAACTTCAAAAGGATTCAACAGGTTTTTTCAATATCAGACGCGCTCTGAACAAAAGCTGAGGCAGTAATCAATAGAATGGTGAATAGGAATAGATGGAAAACAGTACGAGCAAGTGAGATTAACTTTTTAGTTGTCCGGTTTCCGTCCGAAATTCGTTCCGGCGTAAAGTCCTCAGACGGTTTTCGGATTGAAGTCGGACGGAAATCGGTCACTCGGCGCACTCGTGTTAACAGGGGAACATTCCAGAATATTCTAGAATAAAAGCAGCATGCAGGTTTCGGAACGAGCCGGGTGATAAGCATTTTACTTAAGCGGCGACAAGTGAGGAGCAGAGTGCGATCGATATCATGTTGAGTGAAGGCAAAAGATGGTAATAAGCATCAATATTCGGACTACGTGGTGAGCTAGATCCAAGATACGTGTTAAACGCACAATGCTGCATTTGACGCTAAAAGATGGAAGTCGCAACGACTCAGTCGATAACGAATTTGACGGGTTTGAGTGAATGAAGTCGCATTGGTAGTGCAAGAGAATAAAATGTATCACGAACGACAAGACCGTAGTGAACAATGGCTATGCACGCGCTTTTACAGCGGCTACACTTGAAGCGATGCTGGCCCGTAGCCTAAAGGTAACATGTCGCTGAACCTACAGAGACTAATATACCGTGATCAATACCCAATGTAGGTACAGAAGTTGAAGCCGATATGGGCCGTTCTGGGTATTGAGAACAGCACCTGTTAAGGGGAGGGATAGGATAGCCCGTCATCAGGCGTCACGATAACAGGTTAAAGAGATCGATGAGTGTTGCTTCCTCTTAATCTTACCCACTTATTTCTCTCTGACACTTTTCCTTCCTTCTTCCGTGCATGCTTAACTGCCTTCCTCACATAAGTCCCTTATTAGGCGGTTGTGATATGAACATCCAGAAAATTAGGAGGCATTTATCTTTTGTTGCAGCTCTAAGGGACTATTACGGCAAGTTGTACTAACTGGAAACGGAAGAGTTTGGGACGCCGGACCAAAGGAATATTATGTTTTGTTTTAAAACCAGTGGGAATGATAACCGAGGTAGTTAACAAAAAACAAAATTGCAATATTATAGTTGCATAGACCAACGTATACCACGATTCTATCTCAATAAAATAGACATGCTAATCCATATGTGTACGAACCACAGACGAAAACGCACTGCTCAAAATTCCGAAAAGCGCGCACAAGCTTGACCTACGTGTAGAGATTCATAGGCAATAAAAACAACTGTAAATAGGAACTTATTATGTACTAAAGCAACAGGCTTATTTTGAATAGTGTATCTTATACAAATAGTCAAACTACTGCTATAAATTGTATGTTATTGCAATGAATACTTCCTTGCGTACTGAAATTGAGTTATTTTCAGCTGAAATTTCCTTGAAAACAATGTTTAAAGCAACATGAAAAAATTTGTCTTTTAAACTTTTTCTATGCATAAGCAACTAGCAACGCTCCAAATGGCACTGAACCTGTCGTGTCGTTGACGCTTGCTTTTTGATCTTTTCGGATATTCCGAAGAAAACTCAGTGAAATCGCCACAGCAAAAATTGCTAACGAATAACCACCAGCTTTGATAGCTGTGTGGTTCGGGCTCATATCACTCGATAAATGTTTCCAAGCCATTGTTACGGGACTTGTTGTGCCATCGCCTGGAATACCCTCCTCTTAAGAAACACTTTGGAGTTAGTGGGAATAAACGGGATTTATATCAGCCCTAAATTGAAAAGTTAAGCTCTGGCCCGATGCAAGCCTCAGCAATCTTATAGCGGGTTTTACCTGCATGTTTTTCGTATCTTCATCGGGCTTAGGTGGCATTTAAACAGAAAGCACGCCGACTCAATGCGAGACCACCCACTCCGCCCTCCGAAAATGCGATGAAAGAAAGTTGGGTAAAGAAAACAGAAGGAATTACCTTCAATGAGTATATTGGAAGAGTTGATAGTTGAGGAACAGGCTGCTGCGTCGGGTGGGAGGCAGTTGGAATTGGATTAGGACTGGTATGTAATATGGTATGAAGTTAGTTGTCTCAACGAGGATCGAAGGGTAACTCGGCAAACTGCTAATCCAAACAGGTCTTATAATCAGCTACAGTATGTCTCAAGTCAAGTCACGAAATTGCTTTATGCACCCAGCATGAATGAATAGTCAACCACAACACACTTAATCTCAACAATTTGCCCATTGGACATTCTGTTCCCCATTGATCAATCCCGGCGTTTTGGGTAAGGATTTTAAGCTAACTGCCAGTTAATTAATGCAATTAGCCCGCTGTAGCGGCGTTCCGATAGCTACTTTTCCCAACCTCCTAATTGCTAATCACACCAGTTCTTGTAAAACCTAGCTTCTAACTTACTGACCGATACAAGTCATTTAACACTTATTGCCTTAGCTGAATGCTCAGCTTATACTCAGAACTCTAGTCTTAGAATCTGTAAGATGCGCGCGACATGTCCATCTGTGAGCATTTAGATGTTGTGACAGTACCTGCGATGAATGTGATTGACCTGTGAGCCCATACTGCTTAATTGTTACGAAGCTATAAGGAGTGAAAAATAAAGTTTTACTAGAGCAGTCCAAGTCATTTCCTATGTTCCATTTGAGCGAGTCTTATATAGGTGATCGCCCGAAGCGCAAACGTTGAAAAGGTGGCTCATAGTATCTAGGCACATAAAATTTTGTATCTCCTTCTGAAACGCATGGGGATTGTAGATCTCCCGCAACCGTGCTTGTAACTTGTTACAGATATTTACGCAAGCAAATAGGAAGAACTGTGAGCTTCTTCACCTCTGGTGGCGGAGCAATAGTGCAGCCCTTGTCTCTGAGGTGTTATACGGCTGCATTTCTTAATGTCAGGTTGGATGTCCCTGTGCGCCGCTTGATGTAGCATCTAAGTATGAAGCATAGGTTTAAGGTAATGCGTCCCTACCATAAAGGCTGCAGTTTGAAGTGACCACACCTCTGCAGGTAATTAAGCGCTAGCTTTTGAGTAGCTAGCAGTTTGGTGAAGCTCCGCCCAGCCTTTGCGAGCAGTATGCAGTATGACGGTAGCAACTTGCAGCATATGCAGGTGCAATAAGTCTGGGCGAACGTCACTCCGATATCTTTCAGGTCGTTCCCCCGCTGTGCTTATGTAGCAACCCATGGTAAGGCTACTTTTCGCGCCTTCGCAACTTGATATTTCAAATGCCCTAAAAAGTTGAGGCGGCTATAATACCGCATACTAACTCTTTGGCCACTGTATTGATTTGTATGGGTATGACATTTAACGTAAATGCGTCAGCCGGTATGGAACATTTGTGGGTTATAAAGCTCCATTTGTCCGCAGAAAATTCATTTGTCACTGCTGCCACAAAGACTTCAATGATTTCAGGTCTTCGTGAATTTCATCAAACGCGGATACGTCGGAGCTTAGAAGAAAGATATATACGAATTTCATATCGCCAGCGACGAGGTAGGGGCGACCATGGCGTAGGCAGTTACAGACATCTGTCACAAAACTCGGAAACGCGGTCGGTCCAAGCAACAACACAACAACACAACACCTGGAAATTGTGGCGGGATGGATCCTAACTATGCCACTTTCACGGCTTGCGTACGCCCGGTTTGGTAGTATTCAAGCTACTCAAGTAGAGCGCTACCTACACCATAAAGTTTAATCCTTGATACTAGGAGTATATGTGGGACCCTATTCAGCGTCGCTTGCATATCGAGTTGTAGTGTAATTACCACCAGAACCGAATCAATCGCACTGGTGACAAGGTTAAGGCAAGCAGACTGGCAAGTTGCACAGGATCGTGTACTCAGAACTCTAAGCTGTGACTGCCAACATGTTCTGCATACAAGATGTCCATGAGCGCCCACTTAACTGATGTTTCCATCACAAATGTGCTAACGATTGTGGAGTCTACAGACCAGTGGTTTTGGCTTCCTGTTCAAAGTCACTTCTGCTGCACAACGTGATGACAATGTGCTTCCAAACCGAAGAGTATTGGCCTTCCTTCATGGAGAGGTGAACAGTTTTGGAACAATATCGGCAGTTCATATCTCCCGTTCTTAAGTACAATGGGTGGAATTCCGTCAGGACGTAGGTCCTCGGAGGTCTTTGGGGTTGAAAACGCAGAACGGATACATTTTAGGTCAAAGTGCACTGTTCAGAGCAACCGGTTGGTCGACACCTGTGGTTGAGTAGCAACTGGGGACCTCACTGCGCATTGGGTCTTTTTGAAGTAAGAGTTAACTACTTCGAATAAATTGCGCGTGTCCTCAATCGCGTCGTTGGGACCAACACGTGTGGATGAGGTCTTGGCCCCATAATGCGTGGTGCATAAACCCGTAGCCAGTTGAGTTACCTGGCTTTGTTCATGCTGACCATTGCCGTTCTTTCCAAGGTAGTTGTAATCAGTACATCTCTGGCTGATAGCTGACTCGCAATCTTTTTTGCTCTCAGGACCTCTGCAAACTGAACGCCTTATAAGAACGCCGCAGTTGGCACACCCTGATGTACACCCTAGTTTGCCTCATATTTATCGATGATATTTTATTCAGACGAGATAAATTAGCCAAGCGACCCAAAGTGTAGTGGATTACACAGTAAAATATTGCAGCCGATCACTCCGGGGAGTCGGACAGAAATAACTCATCACAGGTCATTGATCTAATAACCATGCTAAAGTGCGGTAGTTTATGTAGTTGAACGGGCGGTAGGTATCGATAATATCTGCTCTAGCAGGAGGGATGGCCGTGTCTTTAAGGTACAGTGAGCTATATGCCACTCCGTGGTGTCTCCCCAGAACATTTTGGTAAACGGATGCCCGTAATTTTGGTATTCCTACGGTACGTACTCCAATGAATAAACGATGGGACCTGGCTGAGGCCGAACTACGTTGCACCCATCCCCCAAAATTGAGGCAGACCAACCGGTCTCTCTACTTGTCAGGGTCGGTATGTTGGATAGCCGAACAACCTCCCCGTGGTGCCAGCCGGGTGGTTCGGGTTTATCCCGTTACAGCAAATAGTTCGGCGGCAGTGTTCCAGGACGTGGTGGGTTTTCGCCTGGCAAGCGTTCTCCCTATAAAAAGCCACAAATATCTGCTTCACAACACTGTGACCTTGTGGAGGTGACTCGTCACTAAAGAACGTCACTACCCTTGCTTGTTTGGTCAACCTTACCAAATCCACAGCCAGCAAACCTTTCTGTAGACACTGGGGAAGCTACCGATCTCATTCAAAAGAACCGCAACACATTTATAAGCCCAAGCAGTACATACACCCACCTACCTACGTTTATGGAGCTACATATAGGAAAATTCTACTATACCATTATACATTCCTTGTTCAATTGTTGTACTTTGACCATGCATATGTCTGTATTGGCGTGCCTCGTGCAGCGGAGGATAAACTTTATTTATTTATTTACTTACTTATTTATTGCAGGTCTGGCTGGTCGAAAGCCTCCGTAACAAGCGTGCATGCAACTGGATGGCTTGATACTTGCTCGAAAGTAGCTATAAGGACCTAATCACTCACATAGGACATATCGGGAGCCATAATTTTGCATCCAATTAGGGGTGCGGATCCCATGATCTCGGCCATTATCCAACTAGTGTCCATTGTTTAGGCGCCGTCCACAATTTAGCTTCATGCAGCGTACTTTTGCTCTATATAAATGCCATATCCTCCAATCGTCTGAGCATACGAGGTTGTGTAAACAGCCAATAGCCATGAAGGGTGTAGAGCTCGTGTAAAGTAACTGCTCCAAACCAACTTTCAGTTGCAAGGATTGTATCGGGCGTGGTGAGAGTAGCCAGTGGGCGTAAAATACGCGACGTGTCCAGTGACCAGACGTTGATAGGTATGATTAAAATGTCTGGCCGGTGTCTCCTAGCTTTATGGCTGACGTAAATGGATCACAAAGAACTACTAAGCCGTCTACAGAAGATGTAGGAATTGGATCAGTAGATGAAAAAGCCTGTTGTTTATTAGTGACGTGTTAATTGCCGGGCTGAGCTTGTGGCGGCTCATCCCTACTTGGTATATTAAGGTGCTGCGCCGAACGCCGCCAACACAGGCTTTGCCTCCTTGAACGCGTTTAGGGACAAAGGCTGGAGCCGCTGAAAATGCTAACCTTTGGTAGTTGAGGCGCTGCCTGCACACAGACCGCAGACGTCGTTGGTTTTCTCCTGGCAAAAGTAATCTTTAT